CTTTGTCAATCAGTACTTGCTGCCTTTCCTATATATATGATGCAATCGCAGGTTATTTCTAAAGGTGTCAGCGACGAGATCGACAAAATCAGGAGGGATTTCCTTTGGGTTGGTGCAAAAATTGGAGAAAGGAAGCTCAACGCAGTATCCTGGGACATCGTCTGTCAACCGAAAAAATATGGCGGCCTTGGATTACGCAAACTAAGAGATACAAATGTTGCCTTCCTTCTAAAACTCGCATAGGAACTCATCTCAGGCAGGAGCTCCCTATGGACTGCCATTTCCAAGGCTAAGTATGCCTCACCTAATTCTCCAAGCAGCCTCTGTGGTTACTCTGGAGTGTCGCACCTGGGCAAGCACCTATCTAAAATTTGGAACGCAACGACGACTGAAATCAAATGGATTGTAGGTAACGGTGAATCCATATCCTTTTAGAAGGACCAATGGTGAGATACTGATCAATCTTTGGCTTAATTGGCGATCACTCACATTCCCAACGACCTCTTACACCTTAAAGTCAAGGATTATGTAGATTTTCTAGGCAACTGGAATTGGGAGATCATAAAACCTTGGATCGATACTGCCACACAAGGATTAATCTTAGCGATTCTACCTCCTGAGTCAAGCCTTGGACCTGATAGGCCAGTTTTGAAATGGTCGAGTAATAGAATATTCTCCACTTCATCTACTTTTAAATCCCTTTACCATGCCTCTTGGATGCTAGAAGACAAAAAATGAGAAGTTATATGGTGGTGGAAAGGGCCAGAAAAGATCAAGCTTTTGCTGTGGTCGCTGGCGAAGGGATCTCTAATGACTAATACTAAAAGGAAGCGAAGACATATTGCTGACTGGATGCCTGCAATTTCTGTTCCAAACATAAAAGTCTTTTACACCTTTTCAGAGATTGCCCCAAAGCTAGACATATGTGAATCCTTATCAACAGCAGCCTTGCACCCCCCTTTGGTCAGAAACGAACTGTTCGATTTGGCTTTTATCTAACCTCTTTCCATCTATAGTGCAAGGAGCTCTCAATTGGACAGTCCTCTTTGTAGTTGGTTGCTGGAAAATATGGACAACAAGGAACGAAGATGTGTTTGCAGGGAACTATATCAACTCCAGGAGCTTGTCCTTCTCGATCATAGCTGCTGCTAATGAAATCTTACAATTAGATCACCAAAAGAGACCATCAAGAGCCCTTTTAGTACCACCTCCAACTCAGAGCCAATCTGGAAGCCACCACCTTGGCCCTAGATTCGCATCAACACTGATGGTACTGTCTCCAATAAGCCTAAACAAGCTGCGGCTGCTGGAGTTTTGAGAAATCACGAAGGCCTCTGGACCTCAGGCTTTACAGCAAAAGTAGGCTTTTACTCAGTCTTGGAAGCTGAATTTTGGGGAGCCTATTTCGGCTTACGAATAGCATGGTAACTCGGTTTCAAGGAAGTCCAACTAGAACTGGACAACTCTATTGCTGTCAAGGAATTGAATGCGGATGAGGACCCCTGTTGCATTGCAAATAGCAACGTTTTGCTAAGAATCAAATCATTACTCAAGCTACAATGGCTAAGGTCAATATTTTGTACATAAACCGCAACGGGAACGAAGTAGCGGACTCCCTCGCAAAATTAGGCCTATCATGTAATCCGGGATTATATATTTTGGCAACACCCCCAGACATAGTCTTAGAGAAATTATCTTTTGACTATCCGCCTCCTCTTCGAGGCGCGGCCATGTAGTTCTAAGCGCAAGCTTCCCTTGTATAAAAAAAAAAAGAAGGATAATACTTTATATAAGCGACTCACATATCCATTTATCAAGGTTTCCCAACCAACACACTCTTCCTATTGTCGGTATGGGAATGGAAATGCCAACGGTTTCTTCTTTGGTTTTCCGTAGATAACCATTCCCATTATAAATCTTAAGGAAAATGATAGGGATCAAGGTAATTCGGGGAGTAAATGTGACACAGTACACGATCTAAATTTTAGCATGTCGCAAATTCTCTCCGTTCCAAAATTATTGTCGAGTTTGAGTTTTTATTTTCAGAACTAAAAGTGAAAATTTAAACTGTACAATAATTTGAAGACATAAACATAGTAATTAGAGATTTCATATTTTCATTAGTAATCCCACTTATTTCTAGCTAATAATCCTAACTCAGAAGTGTATCACTTTATGTTGATTATATATGGTCATTGTCCGAAATATTTTATCCGAAACCATTATTTTGAACATGATAAATTTCAATTCATTGTTCTACAACTCTTTTTTTTGTTTGTTGAGAGCAATTAGGGGATTGCAGAATTCGTAGAACATTTGGCGGCTAGCATTATCCAATAATCCAATTCCTTGTACATTTTCAGCTTAATGCTAGCGTTACACGTATATGCATAATGAAGAATACCGTTTGCAGCTATATTTTCGCTTTATTTTCTTGCAAATTTAATGTCCATCACATTTGTGGCTAAAAAGTGCTCAAACCATTTACACAATTGACATTTACGTAGAAAAAAATCCGGGAACTGTATCGTAGTCAAAGAATTCGTCCAAAGATACACATACACTTATAGCAATTGGTCCAATATCGATCATGGACCTCACATTGCCTAGTTAGAAGGTTCGATGTGACATACGAATGAGCTAGTGAAAAAAAAAAAACAAATGAAATAACACTTATTAGTTTTTTAATATATTAAACTGAAATAATAATTAAATTTTCGTTTAAAAAAAGTACTAATAAATACTGTAATTTGATTTCTTATAGAATCCCTTGAAAAGAACAATACAGTTATTTTATCGAATTTTCGAGATACACTAATACTACTCGTTTCGCCATATTCAATTCATGTCATTTTTACAACATTATTTGCATTTGTATGAATTTGTGGTAACCAAAATATCTCAATTCAAGAGAATAAAAAATAAATATAGTATGTGGCAGGATTGGTTGATAATTTTCCATCTGGATCACCATTGATATTTGAGTCCCTTATCCAAAAATGCTTTGCCTCCAAAACCTTATAAATCCACACAGAATCCACAACCACAAGCAAGAAGCAACAACACAAAAAGATTCATCCAAATCCACGCTTATTCATTTAGTCCATTTTATGTATCCATAATCCATCTTCCATATATTCCAAATGGCTTCTATATCATCAGCTACAATGAACTTAGCTACCGTTACCCGGAGCAGCTGCACCAATTCCGGCCAACAGCCCAGCCGAGCCTCCGTTCTAACTTCCCGGGCTGCTTCTTCTTCTTCCTTGTATCAAGTTCTTGGGATACCGATGGGCTCCACGTGTAACGAGATAAAGGCAGCGTATCGGAGATTAGCCAGAGTTTTGCACCCGGACGTTAATAATGGCGGTGAACAAGACATTAGTACTGGCGCCACCGATGACTTTATGAGTGTTCACGAAGCTTACACGATTCTACGTGATCCTAAAAAGCGGGCTGAGTATGATCGGAGTTTGCTCCGGCAGAGAAGGACGGGGAGATCGCAGCATTGGGTGTTGTCGGCGGGGAATTATAACAGATGTTCCGGCTATGTTGGCCGGAGATGGGAGACGGACCAGTGTTGGTAGTCGGAGTCCAAACACAAAGTACAAACACGAGTTTTTAGATGTTTTACTTTTCGATTTGGATTGTAAATAATTTTTTTTACAAGTTTACCTTTGAATTTTGATTTCGACTGTGAAACCAACATTTTAAAATCCAAATACTACAAGACAATTGTTGTATAATTAATTACAAGCTCTTCTATGCATTATATTATACAGTTTATTATTGTCACAAACTTTAATTTTTTGTTTTTTTATTTAATTTTTTAAAGAGGCAAATTTCCACAATGTTTCGTTGGCGATATTTGCTCATTAGAGTTTCACATTTGAGGTGGGTCGACGCATGGAGTGATGTCATTTGAAAGTCTCATTAATAAATTTTCGGAATTTGAGACTTGAATGATTTTGGAGTTTTTTTTTTTTTTCTGATGAGAAATTTTATACTATGAACTTATTTTTTGCATATCTATTCATAATAACTCGGAATCATCATAAAAAAAAAATCACAAAATATAATGTTTTTCGTGGAATTTGTTGACATCAAATAGTATTTAAAAAAGATTTTAAAATGATTTTTCAAAAATTTTAAAAAGTCGACAAAACCCAAAACAAAAAAAAAAAAGAAAGAAAAGAAATCATTTTGTTCTATATGGAATTATTTTGTGATGGTATTTTGTAATCTCTTTTTGCTACTAATAACTCCTAAGTGTGTGATAAATATGAGAAGTGACAACAGAAATGATTTTCGTTTTATAACATAGCTAAAGCGGTAATTACTGTTTGGGAGAATAGGTCTTTTCATCTCAAAGTTTGGGCCACACTATCCAAAACATCTCAAAGTTTAAGAACATGCTATTTACATCCCAAACTTTTTAAAAACATGTTACAACATTAGGATATTCGTTAAATTTTTAACTCCAGTTAATTAATTAGTAGTGGTACTTTATTCTGTTTCTCCTCCCCCAATTCTTTTAATCATTTAACACGTTTCACTAACTTCCACTTTATAAGAAAATAGCTAAACCTAATTTGGTCTTCATATCATTCATTCTTCTTTTGTTTAGAAAAAAAAATCTAAGATTCACTTTCTAGATTGATAAAAATCATGAGAGGTTTGTGTGTGTCCTAATCAGAAAGTAAGTCCTATTTCATTGTATTTTTTTTAAATATGTAGCATCATTATAAAAATTGGTGTTGTAATTGATGCAGGGGCATGTAACTTCTTTGCTTGGCATGGACCAAATTTACCAAACGCAAGCATGAAATTTTTTTGACTAAAAAAAATGGGGAAAAAGAAACTAAATGAAATATCACCGTTAATAACTTGAAAAAATTAACAAATGTCCTAATATTACATATTTTTGAAAAGTTTGGGATGAAAATGACATGCTTTTAAACTTTGGGATTTTTAAATGGTGTGGCTCAAACCTTGGGATGAAAAGGCTTATTATCCCATTATGGTTGTTTTGTAGTTTGCAGCGTTTCTTGTGAAGTCGTGTTGCAGACAGATCGGCATTGACATCTGACATCGTATCAATATCCATCACCTTCTTCCACCCTTTCCCGTCTGTCAATAATTCACTGCATTCTTCTTCAGTTAGCTCATCCTTCCCAATCCAGCCTCATCAACTTCTGACGTTATGCAGCAACACAGCGATCCCAACTTCTATTATCCATACCCGCAAAACCCAATTGTTCCTCCTCCTCCTCCTCCGGCCCAACCCACTGCCGGCCCGTCACAGTCAACCACTTTCCCTCAACCCCCGCCGTCTTCCGCCTCAGCGCCACCCTTCTCCGCCGGCAATTACCCTCCCCCTCCCTCCGATTACCCTACCCCTTATTCTTCTTCCTATCCTCAAGTCCCCGATCCCTTCTCCACTGCTCCTCCGCCGCAGCAACCGCAATTTTCCGCTTCATTTCCCCAGTATGAAACCCATGGGTCTTACTACCAACAACAACCACCTCCTCCACCGCCGCCGTCTGCCGCGGCACCACCTCAGTCTTATTACACCACCTACGATCAACAATACCAGGGCCCAACGCAACCTAATTATGCCTCCCCTGGTCCCAATTCCACCCCCAGCAGCAAGCCCCCTTTTGATTCGGTTTATTCAGCTCAGTTGAATCAGCTGAGCTCCTCATTTGAGAGAAATCTTAAATTTGATCCACCGGGGAATTATCTAGACGATTATTCCGGGAGGTATGGGAGCTCTGGCAGGGAGAAGTCAGATATTGGATCAAATTTTTATGGGAAATCAAGCGGCAGCGGTGGTGGATATGGAATGGATGGATACGGTGATGGGGTATATGCGTATCAAGGGAGCAATGTAGAGCCTTATGGAGCTAGAGGAACTGCCCCGAAGTCCTCTACTTGGTCTGGTTTTGATGATTTTGGGAGGCCAATCGGATATTCTTCCTCCGATAAGCCGGGGCGGTCATCTACTGGTGGTGGTGGTGGTTCTGGTAGTACCAAAATTGCAAGGGCAGTCCCTAAGGTGGACACTCAAGAGGACGTGAAAAGTGGGGTGCAAAAGTTTAGAGTTAAGTTATTAGCTGAAAGTGGGGGGCAGAGCACCATGGACGTTCTTTGCCAGGTCTCTTTGTTTTATTTCTTTCTTCTTAGCTTTTTTTGGGGTGCTTTTCATTTGATGTTCCTACTTCCTTCAGCTATTTGTACCCCTGAAATTATGTTGCATGAAGTCGCATGTTAACTTTTTGTAGAATGTGATCGCATTGAGGAATCTGTTTTTTTGATATCTTTTGTTTCCATGAACATTCCTCGGTAGTACCACAAGGCAGCATTTAGATGGGTCAGGTTGCGGCTCTGATTGGCGGTTGTTTGTTTTACCCGTAGAAATCATTTTTTAACTTCAGTAAATTCAATCGGGTGTTGATATCCATGATGATAATTTCCAAGTGACCTATGTTTATCTGCTTAACCTATGGTTACATGCCTCATTAGGTACAGTGAAAAATTGATATGAGTTTGCAACCATGTTTTTTCATTCTATTCTGCTGCAATATCTGCTGTTTTAGTTGCAACAAAGCCCAGTCATCAAGGTTGGAGTTGCAACGAATTATTACCTGATCCCTCTGTGTACTGCATGTGAAGTGATATATACTAGAAATAGTCTCTTGTAGAAATATAAGATAAGGCTGCATACTTTAGGTTTTAATGGTCCGACCCACTTTAAACTACGCGTGTTAGCCTGCTAATGTGGGAGATTGTATGCACCAGTCTTGAACTCCTCAGTCCTCATGAATACATGGTGTCTTGGTGTTTGTATCGTGCCCTTCCTTTTTGTTCCTGTTTCATATTTGGCATTTTTTTCCAGTAATTCCTTTGGTCATGAAATCTATTTTATTGTTTTATTGTAGGATATATGTTTTCCTGTTTTCATGTACTTATATCTGGCACGGTGTTGTTTTTATCCAATACCAAAGCTGCATTCATGACTACTTCTATTGTGTTTTTCTGAGTTAAAATTTCTATTGTGTTTTTCTGAGTTGAAATTTCTTTGTCTTCCAGATTGGCTTGGATGGGATTCGGATGCTTGATCCAAGCAGTAATCGGACACTAAGAATTTATCCTCTCGATACCATTACTAGATGTGAGGTATGCATTTAAAACTATGTTTCTTTTTGTTTGTGTTTTAGTCTCGTTGTCCTTAACCATTCCAGGTGCCTTAATTAATAACCTTGATACCTCAGTTTATTTAAGGATATCCAATCTCTCTCTGTCTTTCTTTTTGGTTGAAGTACATTAAATGTGTTATGTCATGACTCGTGAGTATGTTATGGAAAATGAAGTCCTTTGTTAAGTAAGCTTACATTTCAGTATTCATACCCTCGTACCTTTATTTTCTTGCGCTAGAGGTAAAACATGGATTTGATTCAGGCTTCTTTGAAGTTAAATTACTGATTCCTCTAGTTTCTGTGGTTTTATTCGCTGCTTTATGTTTGCTTTTCAGCTGTAGAACATACTATGTTTTTTTTCAATTTTTGTGTTACTTGCATTTGAGTATCAGCTCATGTAGTGTGTTTTACATGAATTTTTAGTGGTCTTTTGCAACTGCTCATATAGCCAATTTTGTCTGCTGCAGGTGGCAGATTCGTCTACCTTGTCCTTTTGGTCAAAGAGTTCGGTGGACCTTGAGCCACGACGCATCAGGTTACGATCAAATAGTTATACTACAAACACTCTTCTGGACACAGTGACTGCCGCAACTGTGCAGGTCAGAAATAGGTGCTTTGCTCGCCTCCAAATAATGTGCCGATACTGCTTGCTCTGTTAGTTATTGTTCCATTTCATTATGTGTTTGAGAACTTATTAGGGTGATTTGGTAACTGCATATTTTTGCTCTTTCATAATTTTTTCCAATCATTCAAATTGCGTGATGATCTGGTTCTCCCCATCCCATCATTGAGCGCTTTGTCATTGCATCTCCAACTCCTGATTTTAGGCTGATTTGTCATTGCATCATTAAGCTCTTTCATAAGCTCTTTGTCATTGCAATCATTTTAACAGCCTGAATTTCAGGCCTCATCTGATGTATTTAAAACTGTACCAATCATGTACTCCTTCTGTCCCAAAATGATTCCCCAGTTTCAATTTTATGGTTTTATATTTTCCATCTATCTGCACATCTCCTTGGTTATGTCTTTGTTCACTTTGTTAGCTTTATAACTTCTTGGTGAAGTGTTTTGCTATATTATAATTTATTTACTTTGTTCACATGCAGTTCAAGGAGATGGGAGGGAGAAGTAGGCAAGCTGAATATTCTAAAGTTACTGATCAACCCACAGAAAAGAAAAAAGGTTTTGGTGATTGGATGAATTTCATTAAGCCAGCTAATGAGGAAAAGGATCATTGGGTAAGTATAACTTTGCATGAACCTGCCTGCTTAAGCAATTTGTACGTGGCACCATTTTTTGGCTGATGGTATTTCAATTGGATGACTGATGAGTGTGTTTGGATATTATTCTTTTATAAAAATGTAGGTTCCTGATGAGGCTGTCACCAAATGCACAGGTTGTGGGACTGACTTTAATGCCTTTCTGCGTAGGGTATGTATTTTCCTGATGGATTTGGAATGTTCTTTCATCAGACTTCTTTCTCTTTGTATTCCTTGATCTTTTTTCCCCAGTTCCATGTTTGCGGTCCTATTCTTTTTTCTGATCGTTGTCCTTGGTTTTCAGCACCACTGCAGAAATTGTGGTGACATTTTTTGCGACAAGTGCACTCAGGGGAGAACGGCCCTTACAGCTGATCAGAATGCTCCAATTGTGAGGGTCTGTGACAGATGCATGGTAATGCTGCTTCTTGTTCTGAACCCATGCACTCATTTCTACTAATTCTGACTTCTGAGGATATCAGAACTTGCGTTGGCATTTGCGTGTTACTGATAACGAGCGACTACATTTGTTTGAATGAGTTTCTCGAACATGAATTTTATCTAGCATGTTGATACTTGCCTGCATTATCATTGTTTTGTCTTTTCACAGGGCGAAGTCTCCCGTAGACTGAGCAGTGACAAGGAAGCAGTCGGCAGATCAACTTCATTGCACAGTCATGAGGATCTTGCCAAGAAGCTTCAGGTAATATATTACTATAAAGTTCTCTTGCACTGGTGTTGTGTGCCAATATTATGTTCCAGCTAATGTAGAATAGATAGATGAATCTTAATTTTTCTGATATATTATTTGTTATTTCGGTGCAGGAAGAGATGGAAAGAAATCGCAAGTCATCTTCAGGTAATTATACTGGAGAGGATGAAACTTTAGCCTCCATATGTAATGGCAACGAAAGGATTTTACTAACATTGGTCCTCTGTTTTACTGCTAACACAGGTTCTAGGTCTGATAGCTCTGGAAGGCGGATGAAAGAAGTTGCATGTCCTACTTGTACAGTTCATTTGCAGGTACAATCGATCTATCCATTTCCATCAGTTTTAATATTTAAGCCTGTGTGTTGCTGATGGCTGAGTCAAAAAAAAAAACAGGTTCAAGTACCCAGTTCTGGATCTGAAACCATAGAATGTGGAGTTTGCCAGCATCCATTTCTAGTGAGTGCCCATTAAATCATATCATCTCAGCCTTGAATTTTCTACCAGTTTAGCCGTTTTGGTTGTCATGTAAAGTGCACTGTTTAACTGTAGAAATTCCCGTGTGTTTCTATACAGTGCTGGTTTGTAAATGTTCAGAAGTTTCGTTGAAAATTTGAAAGTGTACAAAAATATATACTGATTTGTAGAACACTCAAGGTTTTACTGCAACTTCGTTATTGTATATCGAATAAATCATGATTCTTGGTTGAATTTGTTTGGACCATTCCTCTTTAATTGGCAAGGTTTTACGTCTAATTCACGTGTGCTAGTTTTACTTCCATTCTTTTTACTTTTTTCTTTAGAGATTACTCCTCCTAAAGTTTGAATCCAAACAATACCAAACTTTGGAGTGAATTAGACCTTACAAAAGGTAGAGATTACCCATCTCTGGTAGGGTTTCCAGCGTACCAAAAAAAAAAAAAAAAAAGTTTGAATCCAAACACGTAGTTACCGCCACTGTTATAAGAAATCAGAATGAAGCTAGACAATACTGTCAGACACCCACAGCTGAGTCGAAGACTCTAAAATAAGTAAGCTAAAAAACGTGGCCTGTGATCTGGATTGTAAACGTTGCCAATAGGTTAGATGATTAGTCCAAATCACAAGACAGTTAAAATCTGGAATCGGGAAATGAAAATGGCGACATAAACAGGACATGGCTGTGGTTCCTCTTAGGTTGTTTACCGAACTTTATGATCTTACTTCTGAATCATCAGTGACACAAATACCTTGTTAAATCAGCTCATTAGAAACTTCTAATCATCACTTTTTAATTCCATCATTAATATTCTTATTCATCAAACAAACCCTGATGCAACATGCAGTGTGACAACAAAAGGTAGTCCACCAACTCATTTTCGATGTGGTAACTCAGCATTTTGGCCCTCCAGATCAATATTCTGAACTAACATTGGCCACAACATTTGCTCTTCCTACATCATTTCTTAAGCTTTAAAATGCCAATTTTATATCGATTCCATAAATTGACGGCTATCATCATTTGTGGGTAACTGTTACCCAATTAAAATTTATTTGCATTGTATCAGAATTGTGGCGAATTCCGATTTACACAAATGTTTGGACAAAATATATATAATCAATCATGTTGCCATTTGTCAAAACCTTGTTTGACATTGAGTTTTTGCCGATGAAATGGTTGAGAGTTGGGAGATGGGACGAGAAATTATGGAAACGGCCAAAATTTCCATGCAAAAACTTGTCCAACAAAGTAAAGCCATTTTTACAACTTTCAGAAGAAAAACCCAAAAAACAAATTCAAACCAAAACGGGTCATTAATTAATCTCATTATCCAGTTGTGATCTAATTACTTTTCTCGATTGCCTTTGGTAGAACAGTTGAGACAAGTACAATACAAAAGTTGTCTTTCTTAGGATGGAAAAAAAAAAAAAAAACTTGGGTACAAATTTTCACGAGACTCACGACAAGACTACCTGCTAAAAACAGCAATTTACTTTTGTGGTTGCTCAAAGTTTCAGAAGAATCCATGTGTTAAAATAGTGAAGAATGTCATCTGTTTATAGATAACCTGCGCAAATTAACAAACAATTAATTATTTGATAGACTTACCTACCTCCCAGACTAATAGCAACGTTACAATAGTCTTCTTTCTTTAAAAAAAAAAAAAACACCAAATCCAACTCTATATATATTAGCTCCCATGCAAAAGACCATTTACCTTTATTTTCTAGGTCCCAAGTCGTGACAATTAATCATCGACTATATTTTCTTGTTTTCTGTTCTTAAAAGTTTGCAGTTAGCAAAAAATTATGATGCATCAACAACGGCATTGGGATTCTTGGGCTTTGTTGATGATTGGGGTTTTGTGGTTGTTTTTATATAACGATTTATGTGAAGCAAAGATAACGCTACCGGCCAATGTAACGGTGCCGGCAGTGTTTGCGTTTGGAGACTCCATAGTTGACCAGGGTAACAACAATAATGTATCCACATTGGTTAAGTGCAATTTCCCACCTTATGGTTCCGACTTCTATGCCGGAATTCCCACCGGAAGGTTCAGCAATGATCGGACTCCTCCGGATTTAGTTGGTGAGATACTTTATCATTTCTTTTCTTCTTCTTCTTTTTTTGTTATTACAAATTATCACAGTAGATTAACAATATAAAAGTTGGAAAATGACTAATGTGATATATCTTGATTATGTGTGCTAATTAGTTCACTTCATTAATGAAATGGCTTTTGTGAAACTTTATTCTTGTTTATTTGTGTGCATATCCGAGAAGTTCGATTATAGGCTTTTGCATCCTCTTTTATAACCAAAAAAAAAAAAAAAATTGTGTTTATTTGAAAAAAGGGAGTGATATTAATGCTTTTCGTATTTGTTTTAATGGTATGTTCTCCCTTATCATTTTATTGGGGAGTAATGATGGTGATCATTCTATAGTTCTATAAGTTTAATTTCGTGTCTAACAAAAAAAAGAATGTTCATATTAGTTCATATTAATGATTTCTCACAATTTTGTGTGATTGCAAACCGTCAAGAGCCGGCCGGCCTTGAGTAAAGGCGGGGATTTTCCGCCGCCTAAGCAACGCCTTCTTGTGCATGAATGGTGTACAGAAATTTTTCTGAAATTTAACCTTTCAGGCCCGCAGGCCGGACCGCTAAAAAATCTATGGACCTATACATTTTGGGGCCACATCCCTATCACGTTAGGGTCCATACTAAATGTTCTTTTGCTCACTTTTTCTTTTTAATAAAAAAAATATACATATTCGATTCCTTAATCTCATAAATAAATCAATCTAAAGTAAGAAGAATTTCATTTTATTTTACTTTGTCAGTTTGTTGTTAGCTAATCTCTAGTGTGATTATATAAATTTCTGAATTTCAGCTGAAGAATTGGGAATTAAAGATGCAGTGCCAGCATACCTAGACCCACACTTAAAACCCGATGAACTTCCGACGGGCGTAAGTTTTGCTTCAGGCGGTTCCGGTTATGATCCTCAGACTCCTCAATTAGTGGTCAGTTGAACTACTTGAATGATGTATCATTTATTTATTTATTTAGGCTCCAATCTTTAAAGATACTACCACAATCTAACAATGGTGTTTGACGTTGTTATATCCAGTCAGTCGTACCCTTATCTCAGCAATTGGAATATTTCAAAGAGTACATAGGCAAGCTGAACGACATGGTCGGGGAAGAAAAGGCCAAATTCATCTTAGCCAACGGTCTATTCTTAATTGTCGCCGGTAGCGACGACGTTGCCAACACCTACTTCACCTTTGGCATCCGCAAAGCTCAGTACGACATTAATTCCTACGCTGATTTCGTAGTCGCTTCCGCTTCCAATTTCTATCAGGTAACAACAAAAACCCGTGTTACATTTTATTAAAACTGTGGGGGGTCGCACTTTTCCGTGTAACACTAATTTGTTGTATGCCTGATATATGCTTTGAAAAAATTAAGGAATTGTACAAATTGGGTGCGAGAAGGCTAGCAGTTTTTGGTGTACCTCCGGTGGGATGTGTTCCATTTCAACGAACACTAGCCGGAGGATCACTAAGAGTTTGTGTGGAGACTTACAACCAAGCGGCACAATTGGTGAATGCCAAGCTTTCCCAACAGATTGATGCTCTTACAAAAACATATCCTGATGCTAGAATCAGATACATTGACGTATACACCCCTCTATACGACATCATCATGAACCCACAAAAATACGGTATCTAACTCGATGACTATAATTAATTAATCATATCATTGAATTTGAATTGTTTCTTTACATCATACTTATTATGGAAATGAGGTTGAATAATCCAGGATTTGAAGTGGTGGATAGAGGTTGCTGCGGTACAGGGACGCTGGAGTTGGCATATTTGTGCAACAAATACGCGGAAACATGTAAGAACCACGACAGTTATCTGTTTTGGGATAGTTACCATCCAACTGATAAAGGATACAGTATCCTTGTTCAAGAGATCCTCAAAACTTACATCAACAATTTCTTCTGAAAAATCATTCAAGCCCACCCTTGATCTTAATTTTTTTTGGGATTGTTTGAATCAATGTTCAATGTATTATTATAAGAAAAATGTTAGTGGACAAAGTTACAACATCATCATGGCTCAAAAACTTGCCAAACTCTGTACATGTGAATGTTGTTAGAATGTTTGATCATTCAAGATTGCAGTTTTTGTCTTGTTAGATTTCTGTTGACTGGAACTGGATCTTTTTTTTCGAAGCACCAATGAGAACTTACGTCGCTGTCGTTCAGTAACCTCTTCAATAACGTCTTGCTGTGTTGTTACTGACTCTACTTTTTGTAATGTTCTTCCATTTCTATGCCTATAAGCTCAAACATTCTAATTGATCATTTCTTTTTTTTTCCCGCCTTTCTTATATCGTTTTAACCTTGTTTGTATCAGTTTGGTCATATTTTTATTTTTTTTGCCGGTTATACCTTTTTATACTCATTTTCGGAAATACAATCAACAGATTTTATGTAAATCCCCCAAAACTAACCACAAACAAAACTCCCCCAAAGGAGGAAGAACACCCTCTTAATAAAGAGCGATAAAACACCAACAATGGGGGGACAAAACAATCCCCACGAAGGAGACACCATTAGATCTGTACATTAGGAAACGAGTAAAGAAGGTCTCCATCCTTCATTGAAGGGAGAAGAAGATCTTTACCAGAGAGGATCCAAGAAGCATCAGTAATACAAGATCTCAATATATGAATTCCAAACACCAAAACTATAAACCCCTCCTCTTCATCACCAAATTTCATCATCACTTGCACTAAAACAATTAGATTGAGCTAGAGCCGTGCGAATTGCAATTCCGGCAAACTTTTCCAGCTTCAGTGATGGAAATGAATGGGAATTACTAAGAAAAAAGGGCACCAGCACCGGATTCGGAACAACGGAAAAACCCTTCAAAGCTTAAGACAAAACAGAGTGTCCATCAGCCACCTAAAAACCTCAGAAATATAGATCCTCTTCTTCTCCCCTGCTTTGGGAGATCTCTGAGAAAGATTTCACGGTGTGACCCAACCAATCACGTGAGAAATTACAGTGCAATGAAGTTCTCTGGACAACCGACTTTGATGATGCTGATGATGGTATTGAATTCGTGCCGGAAGCTGAATGATCAATAGCAACTTTAACTCTTTCTTCTTTTTTCACAAATCAAAGCCAGAGAAATTGCGTTTCCCTTCCCGGGCCAAGACGGGGATGATCTATCTTGCTGCCAGCGTGGGGCAAAAGTTAATTGATCCAGCGCATACATTAACATGGAAAGGAAGAAGTATGGTGGGATTTTTGAAAGATATATGGCAAATGGCCAACATATTTTCATGGAACTTCGCTTAAATTATTTAATTTAAACTGAGTTTGTGTTTGGCAAATGAGAACTCTGTTCAATCCCTATGTTTCGCGACCTATAACAGAGTTCGTGTTTGGCAAACTCGAACTCTGTTCAATTTCTTATGTTTGCTTCAAAAATCTATAGATTGGTCGATGTAAGCACTTCACTAATCCAATGATTAGGAAATTATGAAGCCATCCCTTGAAAATTCTCATGAATCTCGAATCCCAACTCTTAAGGATTACATGATTAGGTTATACTACTATCAATTATTTCTTTTTTTTTCTTTCCTTTTTTTTTTTTCATTATTACCCATCATCACACTAGATTAACAATAAACATGTAGATAAACAAGATATCGAATTTACATACAATTTCATAGATTTTATTTTTTTAAAAAAATCAATGATACCTCATGACAAATTAGCTGGGTCAACACCGTTCCGACCACTTTTTTGAACAGAGGATGTCCTCTGTTATTACAAGAACATGGTCAGTGCCATATTCAGTTGCAGCCAAAGGTCAAATCCAGATTCCATACTACAAATATGATGATCTGTATATCCAGATTCCAGGTGATTTTTAGTAGAGATAAACTTGTTCAGTATGCCTAGATTATTCCTTTTATGATATCGAATCATTACTTTTTTTTGAAAAATTCTGGTTGCTGTCGTATTTGGGCAATGTTTTAACATATTCTTGTCACTGAATGTCAGCATGTGTGATTCCAAATTTGAATGTGATAATTTTCAGTTCAAGTAAAGAGAATTTGAATGGCTCAAGCCAACACTGCATGTGTTAAGGTAAAATTTTACTGCCAAAATAGTTTATCAAATTAGCAGTACATGCTTATATAGGACAACCTGAAATGCTAGTCACTGAACGGTAACCTGATATGTAACAAAGTAAAATCAAACTGATGCTCATAGGAATTCAATTTGACCGGAAAAAAAAATCCATCCTAAAATAATTTTTTTCTTTTGGGAAAAAAAAGGAAATTAAAGAACTAGACTTGCATGTTATAGCTAGGGAAAGGATATATATGTACTATAAGGAAAGAGGAAACAAATCTTTGGCCCCAAAATATGATACTAAACAGGAAACACATGCCAAAAGAAAGAGGAAATAACTCTTCTTCTTCTTCTTCTTCTTCTTCTTTTGGTAATATGGCTGCGATATAAATAAGCTGCGCCAACTACCAAGAACGTACACCTTTATATATATGTTGTTCTTTTCTCTCCGCCAATCAAATCTAAAACCTAATTAACCTTGTGTATCCAACTTTGCATAATATTCCTTGCTCATGGAATCATTGATGGATGACTGGTCGGCCCTTAATCCTGATTTGTTGGTGGAGATAGCCAAACGCATACCAGACATAGACGATTTCATGGCATTCAGGGTGTTTGCACTTCGTGGCGAATCGCAGCCACCATGGATAAATTTGGTCCTTCATGGCCAAGAGTTCCGTTGCTTATGTTGGTAGAAAAAGAAGAGGAAAACAAAAACAAGAAGAATGGCGAACGCGAGTTTTACAGCCTGTCAAAAGGAAAAATTTGCATGAGATTACTTGTTCCAGAAGCCAAGGGTAAACGACGCATCGAAGTGAGGTTTGGATGGTTACTAACCCTAACTGATTCCGGAGATGTCACTTTGTTGAACCCTCTCTCTGGTAGACAGTTCAAACTACCTAATTTCCGATTTTTTCATAGATTTAGATCTAATGATCCTAATCCTTCCTGTTTGTTTATAACCAAAGCGGTATTGTTAGAGAATCCATCCGAGGTGTCAGATTTTACTTTAGTGGCTATTTGTGGTCGTAAGTTTTTAGGTTTCTGGAGGCCTGGAAATAAGAATTGGACCCGGATAAAGACAGAAGAAAAAGTTTTCCTTGATATGACTTATCACAAGGGAAAGTTGTACGCAATCAATGGTGCGGGTAACATTTGGAGTTGGGATGGTAATTCGCCGGCCGGCGTCAAGTTTGCCGATATTGTCCTTTCCATAAATTATTCGCTACTTCCTTCTTATAGACAAATATATTTAGTGGAATCGTCACCCTCATCAAGCATGGAAGGAAAACTGTTGATGATTTTACGATTAGAGAATCGTTACGACCAAAAGGATAGATACAACCATGATGAGCCGGACCGAATATTTAAGAAGTACTTTTACACACGGCATTTCAGAGTGTATCGATTGGATACAGTGAAAGGGGACTGGACTGAAATTTCTAGTTTGCGAGGTGATACCTTGTTTGTTGGGGGCAATGCATCAATCTGTGTCTCAGCCACAGAAGCAAAGAGAAGTGGAATTAAACCTAACTCCATATATTTCACTGACGATTACCTGGAATCATTCCCAACAATGGGAGGAGGCGGCAGGGATATGGGAATCTATGATGTTGAAAACGCAAGTGTTGAACGTTTTGGTGGCCTTGACGTTGGCCTTGACGTTGAAGACAAGTCCGTTATAAGCTTCATTTGTCCACCTTTTTGGGTTTCCCCGAACAATTAGTTAAGATGCTAGCTCTTATGGATATTTCCAATTCTTTTTTCATAATAAAACTTACGTTTAGTCTCTTGTGGTTCATTCTTTTTACTCGTAGTTTGAGCCTCCTTCGGAGCCTTCGAACTGCAATCATATACATTCTTTTTTTCTTTTATTAAGATTTCTCTTATGTTATTTTTTTTTTCATATATTTATTATTCGCTTTGTAAATTGAGACGTACTGTCAAAATTTCTCTCTTTTATTTCTCTCAAATTTGAGTCCCACTACTTTTTGATGCAAGAAATCTAACTGAACAGTCCGATCGCTGTCAATCTCAAAATTAGCACTATCCAATACTTAAAAAAATGTCTCAAATACCGCGGTTGGAGGTTTAAACCCCTAATCACAACTAACACACAACGGGAATTAAACAAGCACAAAATACAAAATTTAATGTGACCCGATATTTTGATAGAACACACTGTTATTATTAGATCTGAATAATAAAAGAGCTCACAAATATAGAACTTCTATCGATCTACACCCTTAATTATATATTTCCTCCCATCCCTCATATATTGTGTTCTACAGCTGATTTAAGTATAACTAAAATATATTTATTTTAAAACCCTATCTTACTAACTGTGATAATAATAACTAATTCTATTGGACTTTAAATTTTGAGGAGAAAACCCAACATGAAGACAATGGTGGATTTGTATTTTTGGATAGAATACACTCCACTTTCTATTTGAGTACACCCACCCCCCACTTGGTAAATTGTCTTTTACCCACGTATCTGAATCCTTGAGTAATGGGAGATATCAGTTAACAAACGCCTTTGTGTAAATTGTCAGGCATTTGACGACACCGCCTTTGTGTCTACAGTTCCATGAAAAGTTAATTTGAAACATGGATTATTGTTGTCTTATTTGAGTTGCAAATTGCAAAATACAAACTAGGGAACGAGTTGATTACGGTACATTTGTGTGCGTTGTGTTTGGATTCTCTTTAAATTAGCCACAATTAATCTTTGCTTTTGCATGCATGGGATCGACGGGAGTACTCAACTTCCACGTTCCCAATTCGTCTATACAAATGAGAGTTTAACATTACAGTACCATCTAAATTTATTTTTTTTTCCTTTTTGGTCAAAAGAGGAGACATTCGCATGGACGAAGGACTTGGTAGGCTGGAAGAATCTTTCTTTGAAATTTTCCGTCCATTGTTGGTGACATGCAGGAATCAAATCTTTATAGGGTAATAAATATTGTAAGGCTTGTTTGCATTGGTATGGACAAATAGCTTATTAGGGTCAAATGCTGCAATTAGAAAAAAAAATAGCACAATGCCATGCATCAAAATATAGATAATTAATTTTTTCAAAGACACATTAACACAAATCAATACCAATATCCATCCATAATAATTCTTAAAACACAATAATTTTTCAACAAACATTAATCATCCTTAACTGCTGCAAAAGCATCAACCATCCTAAAAAACTCAACATTAATTCACTACATGGTACTCCTTGCGCAGCTCACACCTTCGTTCAGGGGAACAAGTCAACCTGCACAACAAATCAGGAAATTACACAATTAACTCAAATAGGTACAAATTAATTTAATTACCAACAAATCTTTAAAGCATAATAAGAGGAAATATATAGTCAAATCTTGAAACCTTACTCGTTTAGTTAAAAGGAAAAAGAAAAACCATTTCACGAAAATCGATTTCTGTACGTAGATCTACTAACATAACACACACTTCCAGTAACCTAAATATACTAAGTAGGCTGATTTTAAAAGGGGATGGATAGAAGCTTGGTTAAATGCAGGAAACAAACCCCAAGTATATAATACATTACCTCATAAAGGCCGCAGTTATTAAACTTCAATTCTTGTTTTCGGGCATGAGATTTTGGTGACGTTTTAGAGCCTTTTTCGTTTTAAAGACATTATAACAAGTAGGACACTCGTGGGGGTGGTGTTTGTGCCAATTGGAATTGTGAACTCTTAGCTGGTGTTCATTATCAAACCCGGCTTCACATTCAAAACAATAAAAGGGGTGGTCAGGGTGTGAGTTGCACATTGCAAGGGTGGAAATCAAAGGAAAAGTTGTAGAGAAACTTGACAAGAGGTGGAGAATGTTGCAAAATGAAAGGATATTGAATAGTGTGAAAATAAGCGAGTGATCAGAAGGGTATAAAAATAGTGGAGCTCTGTTCGTGTTATTAATGCAGGGAAACTAAAGAAGTTAATTAGTAAAAGCGTAATTACCACCACTAGTGATACAAGCCATTAATGGTGGGGTTTTTCATTTTTTATATTTTTGAAAAAGACACACAAACTGGTTAATGAAATAGTAAGGCGCAAACAAAGTTTACATTGGATTTAATTTGGTCCTTTGGGATCTTTTTAGTCCAAAAAAGACTCCGTTTATATGTATGTGTCTAAATCATGGATGATTATGGTATGGTCTGGCACACTGTTCTGTAGACCTTAGTGTTCTGTTTAAACTTATCACGGTTTGTTGTTGGACTGTGTCCAGTGCATCTGTTTCAGCTAAAGGTAAATTAATCAACCATTAGTAATTACTTCCAATTTCTCTTTTCCCCATCTCCTCTTTTATTTCCTTGTGTTGCCATCAGCCTATCCTTGTTAAGTATTAAAACCGGTCCCCATCCATCTTCAAAAACTTGCAGTGCGAAACTTTCCTGAAATGTCAAAAGGGTTTGAATCTCTTTTTTTAAAGTGAATTAGTGACATTGGAAGTTCATCAACTTAGGTTGATGTTCCCATCCTTGAGGACTGATACCCCGAGGCCCAACCACACCCATTAAATTCTGCTCCTACTACTTATACTATCACATACATATATCAACCAAAAATGATTTTCAGAATCCCCCATGTATACAACTTCTCAGTGGTGATCCCCGGCTATAGCTATACATCATTGTTAAACTTCTTTTACTCCTCCCCACGTCACTGTAATAGTCCACTTTGATATAATAACGGATGGAGATCGGATCCTCCTCCATTTTGTGATATTAGTATTATAACTACTAACTATCTGCATGATAAGATAGTTAGTAGTTAGTACTCTTATCAGAACCAACGTGGCTATGGTAGAAGCAAGAAAAACTACCTTAGACCCTTTCAAAGTTTCGTTGACTCATTTACGTAGTCAAAGAATACTTAAATTGTCAGAAACTAGGTCAGGAAATTCAGAAATAGAAAGAAGAGAGAAAGAATTCGATAATAAAGGAAGCAATTCTGTATTTTCATTCATTAGTTCTCACTTACGCTTAATCCAAGTATATATTAATATAGGTTATCTTCAAAAAGAAGTATTAATATGAATAGGTAATCAGCAACAATAACAGAATATTCTTGTTGATCACGTTTTACTGAACGATAATTTACAACAGTAATTCAAAATGGAAGAGTTACTAATTGTGAATATTAACCCTAATCTTGTCCAAAACGTAATTAATGCACCCTAGCCTTCTATTGTTGATTATTGACTCAGAACTTCAGTAAATTCAACCTTTTCCTTTATATATGGGGAAGACGAAACTTTGATTACAAAAACAACTCATTCGGAGATTTGATATCTAATACACTTTTTTTGTAAGACTGTATCCGAAAGCGTTGACAAAATGTGCAGCTCCGGTGCATACTTAAAACCTAATTTTGCCAACAAATCGATTGGTTCGCTTCCGGGCCTTCTTTATGTAGAAGACTTCTACAGCCCATGACACAAACCCATGAATGGACTTGTAGGCTACCAGGTCACTTGTAGGCAATCAGGTCAGCCCATGCGAAATCTTGCTCTATTACCATAAAAGCAAAACCCACCTTTTAGTCCCAAGATTTATTGTATAATACTGACAATCATATTTATAAGATGGAGTTCACTAACTTTTACACAAATCAATAAACCTAATAAAATTTAGTTTTTTATCTCAAAATTGTTATAAATTTTTCAAATTATTCTTGATACCATTAATGAAATAGTTCAATTAATATTTGAATTGGTTAGTTGTGAGGGTAAATAAAGGAAAAAAAATCATTAAATAGTTTTTTTGTAAATGTAAAATTTCTTATAAAAAGGAATGAAGAAAATATGTCTAAAATCTTTTATAAATAAGAATGGAGGTAGTGGTTGCGGCAGTGACATGTTTGTCCCTTGATCTCTAATTGTAGATTTGAATCACTTACGAGCATGAGGTTAAAATAAAATCTAATTAAAACGCTCTTTACTGAGGACCATGGTCTAACATTAGATACAGATTTGTACTCCCTTTGGGGGAAAAAAATTAGAAATTAAAAAATAAAAAGTACCATCTCATGATTACACCCGTAACAAAGCAGAAGGAATTAATTATCTGATGAGTCTGGTGCCGATATGTCTTAAATCTTAAATGGAAACAAATGAGTAAATTTCCTTAATTAAGAGCCATTGAACGACCTTTTGGTTTTATCATTGTCATGATTATTTTGTTGGTTCAACATGCAAATTTCAAAATAAGGAGCAAGTTGGTTATGACTCCGTCTCATAATTATTGTCCAGTTTGAATTTTTATTTTTAGTTCAAATTGTACTCGAAGTGAAATCTCTAACTGGACAATAATTTTAGGACACAGAGAATATAAAATTGTGTTTTTGTAGGTGGAAAAAAAAAACACACACACAAAAAATTTCCGGAAAAACATTCACGACAACTGCCTACCTCGATTCAGCAATATACTTGGCAAGGGAATTTTCATTTTATTGGGAAATTATAGTGGAATAGAGAAACGATAAAAACATGTAGGAAAATGATTAATCTAATAAAAATTGATTATCTTTAATCCCTAAATAGTTCACCTCATCAATGAGATTTATGTAATTTTATTAAAATTACCAGTATTTATGCCTTTTGAGTTAAAACAAAGGATGTATGCACGATACCATGATAAACTCACCTTCTAATTCTTTGACCAAAGAGGTCGTGGTTGACTGAAAAGAAATCATTCATG